CCTCTTCTCTAGCCATTTGCAGATCCTCCAGTAATTCTATGCACCGGAGGACTGACGCATTAATTCTACAGTGTAGGAGCAACCTTAATTTCCGAACATTTGATCATCTTGATTTCTGGTCACATTCTAACTTGTCCAGAGAAAAGCCCCTTTTTGGTTGCCTTTGATTACAGTTGTCCCTCCACATTTGCAGATCTAATTTGTGTAGATTTGATTGGAAATATTTCCTCTAGGCATCTCCAGCCTCTAGATTGCTCTAGTTGTAGTCGCTGCATATGAGTCCCTTTGGGGAGAGAGGGCGGGATATAAATAAAGATGATGATCAAGAGCTGCTTGGAAGGTCTACTCGATCTGTTGTGCAGTATAATCAATGGCTCTCTTGAACGGGGGTTTTTCCGGACAACCTAAAAGAGATAAGGGTTCGTCCCTTGTTGAAGAAGCCCAACCTGGACGCTATGACCCTTGCCAATTACCGTCCTGTTTCTAATCTGCCATTCTTAGGCAAGGTGATAGAGCGGGCTGTACTGGGACCATTGCAGCAATTCCTGGATGACACAGCTGGCCTGGACCCTTTCCAGTCAGGTTTTCACCTGGGTCATGGGATGGAGACAGTCCTGGTTGCCATTACGGATGAACTCCGTTGCCAGTCTGACAATGGTGGATCCGCGCTACTGGTACTTCTCGACCTTACCACAGCTTTTGACACCGTCGACTATAATCTAATGATTCACCGTCTTGCCATGTCCGGAGTTCGTGGTCAGGCCCTCAATTGATTCAACTCATTTCTCCGGAACCGGAGTCAACGTGTAGAGTACATGGATCAAGTCTCCGATAGATCCCCCCTCTGATGGCCTGGACTGCTACCAATATGCAGACGATACCCAACTCCTTCTGCGCCTGGAGCCTGGAGCAATGTCAATTCCAGACAATTTCACCCTCTGTCTGGAAGCTCTGTCGAACTGGCTACGTGCTAGCAGACTGAAGGTGAACCCGGCGAAGACTGAGATTCTCTGGCATGGCCGTCCGGCAGGTCTGACTCCTCCGTTGCCCACCTTCGATGGTGCCGCCCTATCTCCATCGACCACTGTTAAGAGCTTAGGTGTTGTCCTGGATTCGCAGCTGACAATGGAAGCTCAGGTGGCTGCTGCCAGCAAACAGGCCTTTTCCCACCTACGACAAGCGAGGCAACGGGCACCCTACCTATCTGACGAGGCTCTGGCAACGGTCATCCATGCCATGGTCATGTCTAGGCTGGTCTATTGTAACACCCTGTACGTGGGCCTTCCGATGTCTACAACCCGAAGGCTCCGTATTGTTCAGAATGCAGCAGGCAGGCTGCTCACAAGAACGCCCATGAAATGCCATATCACACCTTCAGTGCTGCAACATTGACATTGGCTTCCAACTGAGTACCCCCGTGGCCTGTCTAAGATGCTAGTTCTGACCTTTAAAACTCTTTACGGCCAGGGTCCATCGTACCTTAGGGGCCGCCTCTCCTCCTCCCATCATCGGAGGCCGCAACGACCATCCCATCGTGACTTACTCCATATACCGGGTCCTAGAGAAGTGCCCTTGGAAAGGACCAGGCGCAGGTGGGCTTTCTCTCTTTCTGGCCCTCTTGCCTTGTGGGATTCCTTGCCACCCTACATGAGAGCCATGCGTGACTTGGGGCCTTTTACTCTCGCACTTAAGACACCTGGCTTTTTACTGGAGCATTCGATCTCTGTTGATTTTTAATTTTTGTATGTATGTATTTTATCTTTTGTAATTTAGCTGTAAATCGCCTAGAGCTTTCTCGGATGGAGGGCGATTAATAAGTTATTAAATGATGTTGATGATGATGATTATTATTACAAGTCCCAAATCCTCCAATGATCTCAAATCCTACCAATATTTGGAAAGCTTATTTTTGAGCGAAAACACACAGGGTTAGACTACACAAGTGCAACTTCCATCGTAAGAGTTATTGAGATTTCAAGCATATGTTTTTATTGGGATCCGGCAAACTGTTGCTTGTTCCACTTTTCTTTACAATGATTCATGACCAAAAGCTCTCAGGTGACGCTACTTCGAGCCTCAACGGATGTCTTTGCATCTCCTTTGAAATTAGCTTCATCATTGCTCTGACCATTTCTACCTCAAGACAAATGTCCAAAAAGTTGAACATCACATTTCAAACTTTAAGGGGGAGAAAAAAAGGGAAAGGTCTTGTCTATCTGTTATATTTGTTTACAGCAAGGTGCCTTTTTTTTTTTTTTTACTCTTTGGTATATTCTGACTGGACTTTGGCTATGTTGACACTTTCAGGAAGATTAAGCTACGTCAAAGCTACGTTTTGGTGTTGTAACACTGTTCATGGTGTTACATTTCTGTATGTTTCCCCCTCTTTAGGCACGTGCTACCACTAACTTAGGAGGAAAAAAAACCCTCTCCTTTCACTTCCTGCTGTGAATATAATATTGTTTTGGACTCACTTTCTCAGGAAAGGAAAACAGACATCTTTGTTGCAGGAATAGTTTCCTTTTGAGGGCAGAAGACTGGAAGCCTGTAGTGGCCGTTCCTCTTTGTTTGCAATTGTTATCTGCAGTCAAGTTGTTTTCGACTTGTTGTGGCCCTCTAACCAAATCATCCTGTTACCCGATCTTAAAAACTTGGGGCTGTGGCTTCGTTGATTGAATCAGTCCAGCCACAAACCCCTCTTTTCCTACTTCCGTCCATTTCCCTGGACTTTATTGTCTTTGCCAATGAGTCACGCCGTCTCATGATACGTCCAAAGTCCGATTGTATAATAGCTTCCTTTAGTCACCTTTGTGGCAGAATGAAAATTATGCCTAGTTCACGTCTTTACCAATCCAGACACGGTCTTGCTAGAGAAAAGATATGCCATGCAGAATAAGAATATTCAGTAAAGAATAAGGTAAGTAATGCCTCCACCTTCATAACTCCTCAACAGATGGCAGTACTGGTATGCGGCAGGTACTGGTTTGTTCAGTAGACTCTCCTCTACAGTTCCTTCTAAGCAATCCACATAAAGGGACTAATCTATATCTATGTCTATATCTATCTATCTTCTATAATAAAAGTCAAAGTTTGTATGCGGCGGATGTGTGGCGGTGTATGTGCCGGCTTTCTGATTGGCCAGCCAGAAAGTTCCAAGATTCTGACTTGCTGCTGTGGTGCTATTTGCATATGGTCTCTGATTGGCCAGCTTCAACAGGAGCCCCTGGTGGAGAAAAGGGGTCATGACAGAAACGGGGACATGACAGAAGGAAATTTGCATATGGTCTCTGATTGGCCAGCCTCAATTCCAAGATTCCGAGATGACAAAGAGAGGAAAGGAAAAGGCCAGGGGCTCTGTCAGAAAATTACCAATACAGACCAAACTTGGCACACAGAGCCCCCATGACCCACTCGACATCCTACTGCAGTTTGGAGGAGGATGAACCATGGATGATGGGACTTGCAGTACCATCACTCATATTCTGAGACCGCTGTTAACCTCATCCAATGACTGATCAGGACCAAACTTGGCACATAGACCTCTCATGACCCACTTTACGTCCTGGTGTGGTTTGGCCGGGGATGGACCATGGATTATGGGACTTGCAGTACCTTTGCTCAATTCCTGAGACCACTGCAACCTCATCAATTACCGATAAAGACCAAACTTGGCACACTGAGTCTCCATGATGCACTCTACATCCTGGTGTGGTTTGGAGGAGGATGCACCATGGACGATGGGACTTGCAATACCAGCACTCCCTTCCTAAGACCATTACAACTTCCAGCAATGATAGATCAAGACCACAATTTACACAGAGAGCCAGCATGACCCACTCTACATCCTGGTGCAGTTTGGAAGAATTTGTCAATGGATGATGGGACTTGCAGTACCTTTGCTCAATTCTTGAGACCACTGCAACCCTCATCCAATAACCGATAAAGACCACACTTGGCACACTGAGTTTCCATGACAAACTCTACATCCTGTTGCAGTTTGGAGGAGGATGCACCATGGACGATGGGACTTGCAATACCTGCACTCCCTTCCTAAGACCATTACAACTGCCAACAATGATGGATCAGGACCACAATTTACACAGAGAGCCAGCATTACCCACTCTACATCCTGGTGCAGTTTGGAAGAATTTGTCAATGGATGATGGGACTTGCAGTCACTTCACTCACTTCCTGAGACCACTAAGACCCTTGCCAATGACTGATCAAGACCAAACTTGGCACACAGTCCCCATGACCACTCTACAGCCTGATGCACTTTCGAGGAGGACAGACCATGGATGATGGGACTTCAAGTACCTCCACTCCCTTCCCAAGACTGCTGCAACCCTCATCTAATGTCCGATCAAGACCAAACTTGGCACAGAGAGCCTCCTTGGCCAACTCAACATTATGGTGGGGTTTGGGGGAGAACAGACTATGGAGGATGGGACTTGCAGTACCTAAACTCATTTTCTGAGATCACTGTGACCCTCATCCAATGATTGATCAAGAACAAAACATGGTGCACAGAGCCCCCACGACCCACTCTCCATTCTGGTGCAATTTGGAGGCGGATGGACCACAGATGATGGGACTCACAGTACCTTCACTAACTGCCTGAGACCACTGCGAGCCGTATAAATAACTGATAAAGACCAACCTTGACACACAATTCCTTTCTCAAATAACCCGGGTCCCCAAGCTAGTTTGTTTTATATCAAAGTACCTAACGGTGCAGTGACGGCATGTAGCCACTAGGTGGAACGGGGAGATATTCCGCCGAAAGGGGGCGGAGCTTCGGCGGCGTTGGCGTTGGCGTTGAGGAGGAGCCCTGAGTGGCGGAGGCGTGCACACGTCCTTTGCCGGCTGCGGAGAGAGAGAGAGAGAGAGAGAGCGCTGGGGGCCCGCGCAGGTGAGCCGCCGCCGCCGCCGCTACCTGTCTCTTCAGGTGCCTTTCGGGAGCGAAGCCCAAGCCGACTTGGAGAGCCGAGCCCGCAGAGATGGGGACCCGGCTGCAGTCCCTCCTCCTCCTCCTCCTCCTCCTAGCTTTGTGCCTCCAGGTGAGTGAATGGAATAGATTGATATGGTATTCATTCCACATACACATAATAGATAGCATTATACGATTGTGTATAAGATGTAAGGAAATAAGAATGAATGGAATGATATTATTACGGTCACGGACCAGGAGTGGGAAACTTTTTAAAACTTCCAAAATATTGAAAACGGAGTTGTTTTTAAAAAACGTCAACATTAAATTCACCACGTTAAAAGCCCTCTGTTTAAACAGTTTGTGGACCCCTGAGCCAAATAATATATATATTCACATATATAATATTCTATTCTCTAATATAATCTATATTTTATGTATAATATGTTATTCTATTATATTTAATAGAATAAGTTTAATAATAATAATAATACGATCTATATAATATATTGGTATATATATTTTATTCTATAATATAATCTATATAATATTTTATTCAATTCTTTTATATAATCTATATAATCTGTTTTCATATATGTAATATTTTATTGTTCATATATATATATATAACTATATATATATATATAGTGCTTTTAATGTTGTGGATTTAATGTTGACGCTTTTTAGAAAGAACTCTGTTTAAATATTTTAATGTTTTAAAAGTTGTACACTCCTGATTATATGATAGTATATAATCTGTATAATAAATATTATAATATATATAACATTTTATTACAATATAAATTAATGTAATAATAAATAATATAGATAGATGAATATATATTATGATTATATAATACTATATAATCAGGAGTGTAAAACTATATACACACACACACATGTATGTATGTATATATCAGTTATCTCTCCCCCCCCCCCAAATGGTTTAAATTGTTTCAAAACTAATGCACTTTCCAAACTTTTTAAGTTCCAAAAAGTTTTTAAGTTCCAAAAAACAAAAGGCAGAATCAAGCCCCAAAAAACTTGGCTTAGTTTTGCCCAAGGCCTTCCCTTCCTTTGGGTGATATACATTGAAGTAGAAGAATGAATGAATCCCACTCAAAGCGTGGGCTGTTTGAATGAAAAGTGTTGGTTTTCCTTGGACACCCCCCCCCCTTCCTAGGGGTGGGGTGGGGAGTGTGGGGAGTTCTCCTGAAAGGCTTCCAGGAGAATGGCAAGCCAGCCATTCAGGGTGTTTATGTTTCATAGACTCAGAGAAAGGGTGAAAGGGAAAGAAGTGAGAAAAGGACGGAAAGAAAAAGCGTGCAAAGAAGAAGTATTTGGACTAGATGTCTAGAAAACTTCTGAAAGGGGTTTTTTTTGGGGCGGGGGGGCTTTTCTAGTCCTCAGCTGTGTCCTGGGATGGCGAGGGGCTCAATCTCCTCCGAAACCTCCTTCTTCCCCCCCTCTCCCCTTTTCTTTCTTTCCTGGCTGGGGACATGTCTGGGCAAGTGACCTGGTTCTCCGTTTGGGGAGAGGGCTTCCACAGCCAAAGGCAGCAGCTCCAAGGGGCTCCCGGATGAAGAAGGCAAACAGGGCATTAAGACGGCTGGACAATGCAGACTGTTCCCAAGTGACGGATAGGATAGGTTCTACAGCTTTGTTCTTAAGTTCAGTTTGTAAAGTCAGATGTTTGTCAGTATCACGTAGTTAGGGTTAAGCGCTCTATAGTCCCTTCCCAATTTGGATCCCCAGAGTATTTGCATAGATTGGAGAGTTTGAACCTGGAGTCCAAAGGAATTGAAGCAAGTGATGGACCTCAGAAACCTAACCCAAGCCTCTTGTTACTTTTGAGCTTCCACTGATTATTGATGGAGTATGGAATACTATCTGTGTATGGAATACTACACAGCTAGATAGTATTCAAGCTACACAGCTAGGGCCTAGCGACTATGGAATACTAGCTGTGCCCTGCCATGCGTTGCTGTGGCATAGTCTGGTGATCTGGAAAATAAAGTAACGAGAAGCAGCCAGGGTTTGTAGCTGCAAGGCTATTCAATGGTAACTCCCACCCACTTGCAGGGAGAGACGGGTAACAAATTCATTGGGTTGTTGTGTTTTTCGAGCTATCTGGCCATGTTCCAGAAGCATTCTCTCATGATGTTTCACCCACATTGATGGCAGGCATCCTCACAACCTCTGGGGAAGCCATAGATGTGGGTGAAATGTCAGGAGAGAATGCTTCTGGAAGATGGCCAGACAACCCGGAAAACTCACAGCAAGCCAGCCATTCAGGTTGTTGATGTGTCATAGAATTATAGAGTTGGAAGAGCTCCCGGTGGCGCAATGGGTTCAACCCTTGTGCTGGCAGGAATAAAATGTTATATATGCTAATATATTGTTTAGATAATATATACATTATATACGAGATTGTATTGTAGAATAGAATAATACTATATATGTGGGACTAACATCACTCAAAAACCACTGGACGAATTGACCCCAAATTTGGACGCAAGACACCTGTCAGGCCAACGAGTGACCATCACTCATAAAAACACTTAAAAACATAACGGAAGAGGCTTAAAAGGCAAAAAAACCCACACACACAAATTACATGTGAAAAACCACATATGTATGCACAAACACACATATATACACACAGAGAGAGAGAGAGAACACATATATACAGACTGGGCCACAGCAACGCATGGCAGGGGACGGCTGGTAAATAATAATAATAATAATAATAATAATAATAATAATAATAATAATAATTTAGTGGAATAATTGTGTTATTGGCAGTAGCAGCTCATGTGCAAATGATTGTATTATGCAACATTCTTGTTCCTGGGTTCTAAATGTCATTTCCTAATTCTGGGTTCTGTCATAAAAACATGGAAAAGGTTTATTAAATTGCAAAAACCTTTATTTTTGCAGCACATTTTGTGATGCCTTTTCAATGAATATCTCCTAGAGCAGTGGTTCTCAACCTTCCTAATGCCTTGACTCCTGAATACAGTTCCTCATGTTGTGGTTACTCCCAACCGTAACATTATTTTCGTTGCTACTTCATAACTGCAATTTTGCTACTGTTGTGAATTGTAATGTGAATATCTGATATGCAGGGTGTATTTTCACTCACTGGGCCAAATTTGGCACTAATACCCATTTTGCCCAAATTTGAATATTGGTGGGATTGGTATTGTCATCTGGGAGTTGTAGTTGCTGGGATTTATAGTTCACCTACAATCAAAGATCATTCTGAACTCCACCAACGATGGAATTGAACCAAACTTGGGAACCAGAACTCCAGTGACCAACAGAAAATACTGGAAGGCTGTTAGGAATTGTGGGAGTTGAAGTCCAAACACCCGGAGGGCCGAAGTTTGCCCAGGCCTGAGCTGGCCTTTTCTGCTACAGCATTGAGCCATGGCATTTATAAACTGGGGTAAAACTGGGTTACTTCAAGAGTGTAGATGCATTTGGGAAGTGCAGAGGGCATTTGCAGCCTTGCAAATGTGCAATTTCTGGCCTTGAATGGTTGTCCACGTGAGTGAGCAAGGCTGGGAAAGGGACTGGAAACTCCCGCGTTGGGGGAATTCCTCTCCACCTCCTCCTTGCAACTCCCCCTTTCCCTTCTGGTGATGCAATAGCCGGCTGGAATGGCCTCATCCTCTCCCGTACACGCTGCACACGTGGTTTTCTATCTGTTTCATTTGCTTATCTGTTTTGTTGGCACCTTAAAGATTAACTCTTTGTGATTGTTTGCATGGCCAATATAGCTTTCCTTCCTATTCCCTACAATGTATGTGTCAACTGCATACAATCATTCTTTCTCAGTTTGCATATTCTGTTGTTTCATTCATTTCCCCACTTTTGTAAACTAATGTTTTAGCACAGCATTTCTCAACCTGGGGGTCGGGACTCCTGGGGGGATTGCGAGGGGTCGTCAAAGGGGTTTACACAGTATTTTCTATTGGTCATGGGGTTCTGTACATAGTGGAAGGCTATCTGTACATTCGCTTAAGCAAGCAGTATTTTATATGAAAATACTGAATTAAATTATCCTTTGGTGCTTCTGAAATCAGATGGGCCTACCTGGGTGCAAATGCTTTCTAGAGAGTGGCCTGAGTTGTTGTAAACACATAGAGTCATTGAATTGGAAGAGACTTCGTGGGCCATCATCCAGTCCAACCCCATTTGGCCAAGAAGCAGGGAAATCACATTCAAAGCACTCCCAACAGATGGCCACCCAGCCTCTGTTTCAAAGCCTCCAAAGAAGGAGCCTCCACCACACTCCAGGGCAGAGAGTTCCATGGCTCCATTGCGTCCTAGTCTTCAGGGCAGCAGAAAGGAAGCCTCCTCCCTAGGACTTCCCCTCACATACTTATGTACAGGAGATACATATACTGTCTTCTTTCTTAAATGAGCTGTTGCGACTCTCCTTTGGGAAAGGAAAAGTGGCATCTACAGAGAAAGAGTGCTGATGATGTATATTATTCCTGTACGATGCTGAGTTTGCTAAACAAATGACGTCATTGGAGGGAGAAGAAAGGGGAAGTGTGTGAAGGTGAACCTTACCTGTTAGTCATATCCATCTTTCAGGGGAAGTGGTTAACCCCGAAGGTTTCAGTTGACAGTCATCTGCTTACAATGTGGTCAGTGCAAGCAATCAGGTGAAACTGTGGCTGTAAGGCAATGTCCCAGAAGCATTCTCTCCTGACATTTGGCCCACATCTATGGCAGGCATCCTCAGAGGTTGTGAGGTTTGTTGGAAACTAGGCAAGTGAGGTTAATATATCAGGGTGGGAGAAAGAACTCTTGTCTGCTTGAAGCAAGTGCAAATGTTGCAATTGGCCATCTTGATTGGCCTTGCAGCTTCAAAGTCTGGCTGCTTCCAGACTGGGGGAATCCTTTGTTGGGAAGTGTTCACTGGCCCTGATTCTTTCCTGTCTGGAATTCCTCTGTTTTCTGAGTGTTGCTCTTTATTTATTGTCCTGATCTTTAGAGGGTTTTTTTAAATACTGGGAGCCAGATTATGTTCATTTTCGTGGTTTCCTCCTTTCTGTTGAAATTGTCCACCTGCTTCTTATGGATTTCATTGGCTTCTATGTGTTGTATTACATG